TAAATATAAATGTAAATATATTAATAAATAAATTACCTTGACAATTTGCCTTCCATAATCCAGTCCTGATCGTAATAATATTTCTTAGACGGCCGTAGTCGATATGGATTTTGACATATGTAACAAATGTATATTTCTCAGAAATATCCTTTTCCTTTTCAATAAAATTACAATGTCCATGTTGCCAGCAGAGACAGAGATCATTAAACCGTCCTCTTCCATAAAACCACATGTGCAATTTATTATTTCTTCTCTCCGAAATTGATCTACTTTTACCAGTTCGCCGTTAATCATCATCATCAACCCTTCGCTCTCTATAATATTATTATTAACCTCCTAACGACACGACGCGAACTGTCACATCACGATTTCACGCCACTCACGACACACACGTACGAAGCTCGCCGCGATCTCCCGCGATCACACCCGGCTTCGACCGGCCAATCACGCACGCGGAAAAGCGGCAACACTACGTGCGAGATATTTCGACTCGGAACGCTCACTTCTCGGGTAAACATGGATTTTTTTATTATAGATAAAAAAAAAGTTTTCGTACATTTTTATAAGGAATACGCTACATAATTTTGAGTTACCAACGCTACATTTGGAGACAGCCTATATGCTTTCTACCAAGAGTATGTATTTAGAATACGAGGTTTTTATAAAGAAACTACCGGTTTTGATACTTAGCTTCCCCACAATGATATATTAAATGTAACAATTTAGGAGCAAGTTAGGTAATCCCCAAATTTTTTAGTTAATTTTTTTACATATTTTTTTAGCACTTTTAAAAAATATCCTTTTTTGGCCATTATTGAAAAACTTGCATTTTCAATAAAGAATTTGCAAATTAAATAGAAAGTTCAGGTAGACTAAAAAATAAAATTAATAATTTCAATAAAGAAAATTATTCCCCAATCCTGACCATACTTGTATTTATTTCAATGTTTTTAATTCAAAAGTTATTTCAATATACTCTAAGAAAATCTGTACAACAATTAAGAAAAAACCTACAAACATACTCAAAATGCCTCTTACTTTTAGTTAAGGGGGAAACCTGATGTAACACGCTGAAAATAAAGTAATTTTTGGGAACTTTTTTTAGACACAATTTTATGAAAATTTTTGAAATTTTAATATGTATTAAAGGTACATCTCTAGATATAGAAAATTTTTTTTTGTTGCAAAATGGTGCATACATACATCAATAGATATAATGACGGCTGTCTAAAAGGCCTCGGCATCGGACTTTGCAATCGGCGTACAGCATAGCACTTGTTGTAACAGTATTATATCTGTCTGA